CCAAAAAGTTTTGGGAGGCCTGGGCTACTGCTTTTCTGCCTGGCACTGTTGCTTCTCGACATCTGGGGGTGCCAGAATTTGTGTGGGTTTGGCAGTAACATTTGAGCCACTGTGAATCTCATTTTAATGGAGGGTTTAAAGCAAGTGGGATCAACGTTGAAAAGGGGCAGTGAGGGTATGGAGTCGCCTCTTTTCCCTTCAAAAGCTGGCTCCGGGAGGGTCCCATATTACCTAAACCCTTAGAAATGAGTAAATAAAGATAGAGAACATGCTAAACAGACATCTTGACTTCCCAAGACTTTATGTTTGGACCAATCTCATGGATTTTCCCAAGAATATTTTTGCTGGCATTGGTTTAAACTCTTCTGCACAGATATGTTTTAATTCATGCAGTTATGTGGATCTGTGTGTAATTTGTGCAGTTATATATATTTGTGTGTTTCTCTTTTTATTGAGATTTTTTTTATTTTGGAGAAATTCTCAATAAAACACAGCTGAAAAAGGCCTTCTTCACACACAGTCTGAACATGCGAGCGATACCCATGAGAACTTTCGTGGTCCTGTGATTTCAGCTGGCGCTTTCAGGAGGGCAGGTATGGGGAACACTTTAGGGTTTGAGAGGCTGCTTCGCACCCCTCTGGAGGAGGCACGGTGGGTGTGCAGCCCGCTCTTGCCCCTTCATCCTCACCGCCATCGTGTGGGGTGGGCTACGCAGAGAGAAAGACGGGCCCAGGTTAGCGTCAGTTGCTTGCAAGAGCAGAATTCATCTGGTGTGTTCACCATGGACAGGTTGTTGGCCCCACAACATCCTACGAGTTGCTCTCCCACTTCATTTATTACCCCAGGCCAAATTTCCCTTCAGCGCTTGATCCTGCTTTGTTTCCGTGTAGGGTCAGCATCAAGTCTTGTTTTGCCGCATATCCAGTTCCTACATTTTTGGGCTTCTTCCTCAGCATCTGTGGTTGGAGCGTAGACTTGAATGATGGCGATGCTGAGAGGCGTTCCCCAGATTCTGACTGAAATTATTTGGTAGGATATTGCGTTACAGCCCCTTGCTGCCGGTGCTGTATCTTACCGCAGAATTAGAGTTGCTCAAGCGATGCCCCCTGGGTCTCTGCTAAGCTCAGCTTTGCAGACCCCACCTCAGCCCTGCAGACACTTTCTCTGGGCTGAGCCTACACTACAGTAGCCCTGGGCCAGCACAGTAACTGCCACAGGGAATTCCCTTTCTCATCCCCCCACAAAAGCAGTCTTCCAGCTCTGAAGCAGGCAAAAGCTGGTTTCACAGAATCAAGGAACAGGAGAGGTGGAAGGGGCCAGAGGGCCGTGGGGCCCAACACCCTGCTTACTGCAGGACTCCAAGCTAAACGGTCCCTCTCAGATGGCTGTCCAGTTGCATCCTGGATGCCTCTCGTGTGGGAGAGCCCACAAGCTCCTGGGCTAATGGGTTCCACCTTCATGCGGTTCTAACTGTCAGGAATTGTTTTACTGATGGCTAGCCAGATCCTGGCTCCCTGTAACTTGAG